ATCATTGTGATGTACAACTTAAATTAATATGATGTTGTATAGCAATTGTATCTTAATGAAAAATAAAATCCCTGCCCTAGCTGGTGGTTTGGCTCAGTGGATAGAGCGTCAGCCTGAGGACTGAAGGGTCCCATGTTCAGTTCCGGCCAAGAGCACATCCCTGGGTTACGGGTTTGATCCCCAGTAGGGGGCACGAAGAAGGCAGCCAATCAATGATTCTCTCTCATCATTGATGTTTCTATCTCGCTCTCCCTCTCTCTTCCTTTCTAAAATCAATAAACTACATTCAAAAAAGAAATAAATAAAAATAAAATCCCTTCTAGAAAAAAGATTTCAGTGGATCTGAAAAACTGCAATCACCTAGTGATGTCATACCCATCAGAATGTCATAGCGAAATGCATTACTCAGATGTTTATGATGATGCTGGTATAAACAAGCTTCCTGTGCTGCCAGTCCTATGAAAGTCCAGCACATACAGTTACACTCACTACATGGAATGCTTGATGATGATAAACTGGTTTATGTATTTGCTATACTATCCTCCTTATCTTTGTGTGCTTTCTACTTCGTGAAAGAAAATTTTGCTGTGAAGCAGTATACTGTTTTATGCGGGCAGCAGCCTTGAAGGTCTTGTGTTGACTGTGCCTTTTGATTGCATCATTGCCTCCTAGGCTTGATGAATCTGTTTTTTGTAAATTTCCTGTCCTAACTCTACACTTTCATAAAGTCTACAGTCGTGCACAGTAACGTCCTAGGCCTTCATATTCACTCACCAATCACTGACTCCTGCAGAGCAGCCTCCAGTCCTGTAGCCCATTCAGGGTCACTGTCCCACACGGATGTACCATTTTCTACCTTGGACACCGCATTTTTACTGCACCTTTTCATAAATGCTTCCTACCATTGCATTACAATTGCCTACAGCATTCAGTACAGTAGCATGTTGTACAGGTTTGGTGCCTAGAACCCACAGGCTACCCCATATGGCATAGGTGTGTAGCAGGCTACACCATGCAGGTTTGTAAGAGAACTGAAAACAACAAAACTGCCTCAAGATGTCCTCCCCAGGTTCAGGGGTGCAGGACTGTATGTAACTGCAGTTTCACCTCTCCCAGGAGTAATATTTTAACCCAGTCACTCTGCAACTTGCTGTTCAACACTAATCTGTCTAAAGACTCCTGCTGTTCCTTCCCCTAAGGAAGGGTGACCCTGCCTGAAGCAATCCCCTCTTTTCTTTAACTAATAACCTCTCAAAGCCACTTCTTTTATGCCTATTGTACAGACCCTCAGATTCTATTTCCTAGATGGGATGCGGCCGGATTCGGGAATGGGGAATCAAACCAGTCAGACCTTCCACTTACTCAGCTGAATTTTGTTTTTAACCGTTTGAAAAGCACCACAAAACAAATAGCTGATAAAGACGCTGTGACTCGGAGAAGGAAGATGGCGTTTAGGATTCGGGGGAGAGACTGGAAATGCAGGCATTTGCTGCAGAGCTAGGCCTGGGGGACAGCGGGTGGACTTGAGAGCCTGCTCCACAAACATCAAAACTCAGGAGAAAACGGGGTCCTTCTGGGGAGAAAGGAGGGACAGGGGGCCCCACAGACCACAGCTCCTCCCGTGCACGAACCGCGGGGACCGAGTCACCATTGTCCCCAATGACCCTCCACGTGGTCACCGCACCGACTGCGGAGCCGCGGGGATGTGGGTGCAGAGCTGCCCAGACGCGCTCCGCAGCCCAAGGCCCTGCCGCGGGGACACACTGGACGCCCGGGTCCCGGCTGGGCCCCACCCTGCGAGCCCGAGGGGCCTGCAGTTTCAGCGGAGCCCCCGGCGCCTCGGGTCCGCAGGCTCCGGACCTGACCGTGGAGAGACGGCCCCGCCACGGCGGCTCCACCGACCTGACCGTGGAGAGACGGTCCCGCCACGGCGGCTCCACCCGCCCCTCCTCCCTGTCTCCGCGCCCGCCCGGCCGCACACTCACCATTTCTAGTTCCTGGGCCTCCCGAGTCCTGCCTGCAGCTCCCACCACCTTACGGATCGCAGATGAGGACAGAACAAGGCAGATGCGATCCCAGTGCAGCTGAAGCAAAGGAACAGCCGAGTTGTGGCAGAGCGTAGCCCCACCCGCCCGCTCCAACCTCTACTCATAAGACACACACTTTACACGACTTCGCCCCCTAGCGCCTGACGTGCACAGGTCTGAGCCCAAAGCTGCCAGATCTCCTGTCCAGGGACCTTTGCACTGAGAGGCAGCGCTGAGAGTCCCCAGGGAACAGTGGTCCTTCCTTGCAAACACACACACTTAAAGGCACCTAATGGAATCTGGCTCCATTTTCTTCTTTGTTGACAACTGGAGTCTGACATGTGCATTTGCAAAAAGGTGCACAGGCTCAGGGACCAGGGATGCCTTAGGGCAGTGGTTCTCAACCTTCCTAATGCCACGACCCTTTAATATAGTTCCTCATGTTGTGGTGACCCCCAATTTCATTGAAAGTGACTTCTGTGCATTTAGAATGGTTAACTTTATTTTTTAATATATTTTATTGATTTTTTACAGAGAGGAAGGTAGAGGGATAGAGAGTTAGAAACATTGATCAGCTGCCTCCGGCACATCCCCCACTGGGGATGTGCCCGAAAGCAAGGTACATGCCCTTGACCGGAATCGAACCTGGGACCCTTCAGTCCGCAGGCCGACGCTCTCTCCACTGAGCCAAACCGGTTAGGGCTAGAATGGTTAACTTTAGAAAATGTTTTTCACGTGAAAAAATGTGTTCCTACTGGTGATTCACTCACGCTCCTCTGAGGCCATGAGCTCCCCTAACTTGCGGTTGTCTTGTGGGCAGTTCCACAGACCTACCTGGAGCAAGGAGATGGGCCAGGCACAGAGGTCACGAGGGTGGGAAGCCCAGGTGTCCAGCAATGGGCAACCAATTATAGGGTGGGACCTTGTCCCCAGGGTGACTTTTCCTCCTCTAGCAGATCACTGGTCCTACAGTTTGGACCCCCTGATCTTCCTCTCTAGAGATAACACCTATGCCTCATTGAATGCCCCAGGCTGCTCAGATAAGCCAGGCCCAGATAAGCAGCAAAATGCCAGGGCTGACATCAGGACCAGCTGCATTGAATAATGACCCCTGTCCTGGTGCCGGCCAATCCATCAGTGGAGGCCACATCCCTGAATGGACACACCTGGAAAGCTACAGAATATTCCATTCAGCTCTTCCCCTGGGACCTCCCCTGAAATCTCCACCCTTAAAACCTTAGGAAGGAGGACCCAGTGCGCTCTCCCTCCCTGGAGCACACCTGTACCTTCCCTTCCCCTCCTTCTCCTCCTGCCCCAGGCAGGTTACCATTAGC